AGGCCTGGTAAAAAAAAGGTATTCTGGGAAAGTTTATTAAAATAAACTGGAGAGCGAGTTCAAAGTGACACAGGTCATGAAATGGCAGAGAGGACATGCTGAGAGGACACAGGTACGATGCATACTTGACTCTATGAACAAAGCAGCAATCTGCACCCCCATCAGATGAGTCCTGGGCAAACCAAATTTTTCTGTACCAATGTGGAACTGCCCGTTTTAATCTTCTGTCTATGTTGCCCAATACAATAATCACTAGCCATATATGGCTACTGAGCTCTTAAAATCTGGCCAGTTCAAATTCACTTGTGCTGTTAAGTGTAAAATACAAGACTTTGAAGACCTAGTACAACTAAAAAAAACTATCTTTTTAAGAATGTGAAACATCTCAGTAAGTTTCATATGACTACATGTTGAAATGAAAACATTTTGGATATGTAGTGCTAAGTAAATTAGTAAAAGTAATTTCACCAGTTTCTTCTTACTTGTCTGTGGGTACTGGAAAATTTCAACTTGTGTGACTGGCTCATATTATATTTCTATTAAGAGCACAGTTCTGCACAATTAATAAAAATAATTAACAAATACTGAGCACTTCCAATGTGCTAGGCCCTGTGCTACTTTACATAATAAAGTTGGAACGACACTATAAAGAAGTTCTACAAGAGGTCTGAGGAAGTGACTGAGCTACATCAAACAAATAAAAGATGCAGCTGGAATTCATTGTCAGGTCTTCCTACTGAATAACTTAAATAAAGGACTGTTAAAAGCAAACGCTGGGACTACTCCCATATTGGCATATGAAAGACTTGATACAACGTTCCCAAGAGTAGCAAACTTTTGTGACTACAGAACAGATACAAAACGGCAAGTTTATATTTCAGGCTAGCCAAGTAACCGCCAAAATGAGGCCAATCTCCTTGACAGCTCTAGCTTCGTAGCTGCAAGCGGCAGGACGAGCTGCAGCCAAAGGAAGGACAACGAACTTCAAATTCCCTAGATAACTTGGCCAGTACCTGACTGTGGGAACCCATGCTGAGGGATGGGGCGTCTGGATGATGCCAGGCATGCTGTCTCCCCTAACCACCCCCAACCCCCTGCTGCACACGGTTCCCCACCATCCACGGCCCCACCCCAGATCTCCGCGCAGCCTTGGTGTCCCCACCCCTGAGACAAGGGGAAGTGGGACTTAAAACGTCCATAAGCTAGGGAAGTTGTAAAGAAAGGGCCAGGGCGGTTGCAGGCAGGTACCTGAGATAGAAGAGGACCCCAGGTCCTTAACGCCGGATCATCGCCGAGGCCCCACCCGGCTCCCGCGGCCACCTGTGACCCAGAAGGTGCAACTGAACCGACGCTGCGGCGCAACCGACTCGGCTCTCCCCAGACTCGGAGCTATGGCAACTTAAACTAGCCGCCCAGCTGCAGCAAGTGAACCAGACCACTCTTCTGCCGCTTGGCCCTCTGGGAGTTGTAGTCCATTTCACCCTCAAAAGCAAGGAGTTACTAAGGGAGAACGGCCCTCAGAGAAACTGCAAGTTCCAGCATGCCATACAACTGGTCTTCGGGTGACTTTCCCGGAAGAAGCCGTATTAGCGGGCACCTGAGCCCCTAGGCGGCGCCCTCTTGCCCTGTCCTTTTTTTTTTCTTTTTAAAGAGCCAGTGGATTATATAGGAGGTAAACACTATTTAGTGAATTAGCGAGCTGCCTTAGCCCAGACTGTAATTTAATCAGAAAAATCTAAAATATTTACTTTACTTAAAAAAAAATTCCAAGTAGTTGCAGTGATAACATAGACTACGTTTCTGTTACTCCTTGGGAAACAGGCAGGCGTAATTTCCAGCAGTGAAATGTTAAAAAAAGCTCAATACCAGAGCCCAGTGTCTTGTGCTGAAGACTCACAAACTCTCAGAGCTGGAAGGGGACATTGAAAATTAACTAGTCAAACCCTCTAAGCCTGGAAAAAGTAAGTGACTTGCCCAAGATCACATAGCTCATTAATGATAAACCGAAAGTACAACATGAGGATGTCACTTCATGACTACTGCTACTGTCAGTCTCCCGTCATCTCCTCACTCATGCTGTAACATGAAAGGGACATATTCAACACAGAGAAGTCAGTTTCAGTCACAAAAAGATCATTTAAAAACCTCAACAAAGAACTGAACTTTGGAAAAACTAACAAATGAAAATCCAAATTACTCACATGGGTGGTCGTTTCCTTCTGCTGTGCCAAAAAAGCCATCCATGCTTTCCTCCTCAAGTCTAAAATCGAATTTCACTTTATCTGTGACGTTTTCCAGGCTACTTCAAGAAGAGCTAGGTCACATTAAACAACACTGGTTCTCTATTCTAATAATTCTGTACTGTCATTATCCATTTCCTAGTTGGCCCATTACATTAGGTGCTAAGCCTTTTAAATGCAGCGACCTAACCTTTTAAAATCTTTATCTCACTTCTCAGGCTTTCCTCACTTCCCACCCTCCTTTCATCTCTCTCTCTCTCTCTCTCTCTCTCTCTCTCTCTCTCTCTCTCACACACACACACACACACACACACACACACACAATCATAAATAATTGGCATACAAATTTGATATATTAGAACCATTCAAATATTTTCACTGGCCAACACTAAGAGGTAGATATTATTTCATATTCAGTTTGAAGATAAAATAATTATTCTAAGGACCTACCTATAGATTTGCATCTATCTTCAAGCTGTTTGCTCACAGATGTATTCAAGAATACACTCCACCTGACACAGATATTAAGATAATTAAGAACAGCGGTTAAATTGCCCCATATGCATGCAAAGGCATAATAGTAGCTTCACTTATTTGCTAACATTTTCATTTTTTCAAAATAATTGTATTCATTTATTTAATTCAGTAAATGTATGCTGAGTCTTTCTAGGATCCAGACATTATATTAGACACTGGAGATGCAGTGAAAATGAGGAGATAGCATAGTTTCAGCCCTCATGTTACTCAGAGTCAAGAAAATATGAAGAAGAGCAGTCCCCAAAAGAAAAGGGATTCATGACTGGGAATGTGGTAGGAAACAGAGAAGAGGGGAGTTGGAGAGTTGGGGGGAGGGGGGTCAGACCTGAAGGTATTGGAGGAAAGCCCATGTCCACAGAGTGCCCAGCCTCTACTCAAGCAATTACAATTCATAGCCTGAACCTAGGTGTCCTCCCATTGGCATTAAGGAAGGCTGTCCCTTCAAAAGCAGTCTGCGTTTTACCCAGTGATTGTCCAGTGTAAGTAATGACCATCTGTACTATTATTAGACATTGCTTGGTTCCATTTATCCACTAGAGATGGTCAAGTTCCCTTGTAATATCTCAAGACCATTATAAATGATAAGAAGGAAGAAAGAACACCAAGATAGGTGCTATGGGTAAGGTGAAAGAGAAATCCCCAACATCCTAATTTGTTAGGACTGAATGGAACTACTCAAAATACTCTCCGAACCAAGACAATGGTGAAAGCCACTCTCTTTACACCAGCACAAAATGATCATAAATGGTTGTTGACAATTCCTGCATCAAGTTTTCAAGCTAACTGCAAATCTAAGAAGATTCAAAATAAAAGTCAAGATGTTGCAAAAATGGTATTGCCCACTACTCAAAGAATCATCTTCAGCTGTTCATTGTGTAGAAGCACTGGTGATCCCATAATAGTCTTTTCAGCCACACACTTACTAATTATAGCTGTTTATCGCTGTCAAGAGCATCACAAATATAAAACACAGCAATTTGTATGCATGTAGGTCAAAGTGCACAACTATTAATGTAGAAATCCAAAACTACAAAACATTTTTTATCATAGCTAAGTAATATACCCTATGCTCCAATGTAATAGGTACCTTTTGAAAAAAACATGAAACGCAGAGGAATGCATCGCTAACCATCACTCTCTGATATTTGGACCGTGCTGATGGGTCTTCTACAAGAAGGAAAATGCAATGCTCCATAGTGATTGTCATTCATCTGTTATATTTAAAAGGATTTGTGCGTGTGTGTTTAATGGATCTCAGTGAAAACACTTTTCTCTTAAACCGATTCATCTTCGCATCTCATATATTTATTTGTCCCAGTTTAAAAGTTATGCTAAGGAAAGAAAATTGCCTTATTGATTATCATAGCAATTTGTTGAGCAGGCTGTTAGAACATGATTATCCTGAAGGCTTGTTCCACTTTACTGAATTGAAACTGGTAGGCGTAGATTTCACCGACATTATGGTCACCACTAAGCCAATTTCATGCTGTCTAAATCTTGATTAAAATGCTACAGATCTCAGTATACCACCTATGTTCCCAGAAAAGATGGAATAGCAGAGAAGCAGAGACCAGATTTACCCTCCAACAGAATAATAATTAAAAAAGGCAAAAATATACAAATATATGAAACAGTGCTTTTCAAGCAGTAGACATCAGATAAAAAAGGATAGTGATCCCTGAACAATAGTAAACAAATAAGGTAAGCCCTATGATCACCACAACTTCCTGCCTTGAGAGAATTTTCAGGCCATAGTTCAAGTAGAAGGAACCCAGGTGGAGCTCAGTGGATGTTTTGAATTGAGGAGACAAATATGGGAGTCTAGGAAGACCAATGTCGCTGGAGTTTGCAAGAAAACTAATGGAGAGGAGAGAGCAACATAGAAAACTCCAGAGAACTCTAAAGGGTCTCTTTGGAGTATTCAGCAGCATATGAATCATCATATGCATGTAAAGAAACTGAGGCTGGAGAACGGAGGATTGAACAAGATATGAGGGAAAAGTGCCTGTCACTCACACAGGAACAGGAATAGTAACTATTCCCACCAGCCAGAATGAAACATCTCATAATTCATGAAGTATGTAAAGTACTCAAAAGAGTCTTACCTCAAGCGTGGAGAATAATTAGTGCAAGATTAAATGCCACTCTGGTCCCACCTCACAAGCCTTGAAAGCAAGATCCAAACATATCAAACTGTTTCCAAGTAATTTAAGCACACCTCATAAAAAATCTCAAAAATATTTATATGAAAACAAATAACCCAGCACCAAAAGAGGTAAAATTTACAGTGTCTGACATCCAAATAAAGATGATCGGGCATGTGAAAAAAGAAGGAAAATTCAACTCATTTTAAAGAGAAAAATCAATGAATCTAAATTTACCCAGAACTGATAAAGATGCTACAATCATCAAACGACATTGCTGTGGGTTGAATTGTGTCCCTCCAAAAAGATATCTTTGAATTCTAATACCTGGTATCTGTGAGTGTGACTTTATTGGGGAACAAGGTCTTTGCAGGTATTCAAGTTAAATTGAGGTCATACTGGATTAGGGTGGGCCCTAATCCAATTACTGACGTTTTTATAGGAAGAGGGGATTTAGGACAAACAGACACACAGAGAGAATATCTTGTGATACAGAAGAGAGATTGGAGTGATGCTAGCCAAGGGATATCAAGGACTGCTGGTTAACCGTCAGAACCTAGGAAGAGGCAAAGAAGGATCTCCCCTAGAGTCTTCAGAGAGAGCATACTCTTGCCAACACCTTGATTTTTTACTTCTAGCCTCCAGAACTGTGAGTGAATTAATTTCAATTGTTTCAAGCCATCAAATATGTGGTAGTTTGTTATAACAGCCCTAGGAAACTAACATAGACATCAAAACAGTTATTGTGTTTTAGATGTTCAAAGAGTTACAGACAGGGAAAATTTGAAAAGGGTCCAAATTGAACTTGTAGATATCAAAATTTCACCTGACATGAAAAACGTACTGATGAGATTAGTGGCAAATTAACTATTTCAGAAAAAAAAAATAAAAGAATACTGAACTTGAAGAGATATAGGAAAAAAAAAAAACCTATCCAAAATGAAAAATAGAGAGAAAAAGAAAAATTTTAATGAAAAAAAGCATCAATGAGCTCTTTGTGGGACACCTTTAATCAGCCTAATATAAGTGCAATAATTGGAACCCCCAAAAGAATAGAAAGCAATAAGGGGACAGAAAAAAATATATGGATAAATAATGGCTGGAAATTTTCCTAATTTGATGAAAACCATAAATGCACAAATCTAGAACCTCAAAATACTACACAAGAAATATAAAGAAAGAGTACATCAAAGTACATGATAATCAAATTACTCTCAACCAATAATAATGAAAGTCTTAAAAGCAGCTTGAGGGATTAAAAAAAGCATGTTTGAAAAGAAAATTATGACAGAAGACTTGTCCTTGGAAACAATGCAAGTAGTAAGACAATAGAGCAATATTTTGTAGTATTGAAAGGAAAAAATACTTTCAATCTATAATTCTGTACCTAGTAGTGGTATCCTTTAAAAATAGAAGTAAAATTAACACTTTTTTAAAAAAGATGTAATAATTCATGACCAGCAGTTCTATACTACAAGAAGTG